GCATGTGTGAGCGTGTTAGGTAGGAGTGAATGGAGATGAATGGTTTTTGGGACCTGATGAGCTGTTGGAGTATGAGCAGGTTAATATTTTGTGAAAGGATTCAGGGAAACTGGTTAGCTGAACATGAGTCCTGGAAATGGGAAGTACAATGCCTGCACTATAAAGGAGGGGTTTGGGATATTGGCATTTTGGAGGGACATCTAAACTGTCATATCTGAATGCCTCTGCAAAGACAGTAATTGTGTGAGTGATGATTTAAATGTTGAATGATGATTAAAGTTTTTTCTTTCATTTTTGGGTTTTTCTTTATTTTTGGGTCACCCTGCCACGGTGGGAGACGGCCGACATGTTAAAAAAAAAAGCGTGATGTACGTACATTTGCTGTACGTGATTGGTGTGGCTCACAGTATTGAAAATTTTTTTATGTGCAGTTAAGTGTTACCAGCCTGATTGAACTTACTACAGATGTTAAGGGTGTGGAACACAGCTGCTGTGTAAAGTGGACCTGTATAATCTGTAATGACAGTTTGTCATACATATAACAGGCTGCACATAGTTCACTGAACTTGTGGTTGTAGTTAACAAGAAAATGGTTGATGTTAGTGATTAAGATTGTTTTTCCAGGGAAGCACATGACTAAGAAAAATTATAAGTATTGAATAAAATGGTGTTCATATGACTGGTTGAAAAAATGTATATTCAACCCTTGGAAATAAATGGTATAAAATACCGACACAATGGAAATATAAACACATATGCAGTATAATGTGATCCTTTATTGACTACGTTTCGCCCACACAGTGGGCTTTTTCAAGTCACAAACAGAACTACCTGGGTTGGAAGGAACGCGAGTATTTATAGTCAGGTTCAGAATGCTGAGGTCAGGTGGAGAATACTGCATCTGATGATGTACCGAGTGGGGTTATAGAGTCTAAAATCTTGGGTAGCTTGGAAAGGAGATTGAATAAGTTTGTGAGCAGACCTTCTACAGTGTTCTTATGTGGGATAGCAATGAAGAAGTTTCTTGGCAAGTGGTTCAGCTATGTTGTAGAAGCCACTATTCTGGTTGAAGTTGTCGGATATAGAAATAAGTGATGACTCCAGGATTCTTCAGTATTGAGTGTTGTCTTCTGTGGAGATAAGTCTTGAGTTTCTGTAGTTTATCAAGTGGTTGTGTGAATTACGGTGTTGTACGCAGGCATTCCTTGTGTCGTCAGACCTGCTTGCGTATTGGTGTTCTGAAATACGTGTTTGGAGGTCCCTTGATGTTTCGCCCACATATAATTTGTTGCAGTCATTACAAGGGATTATGTATACCCCTGCAGAGGGTGGAAGCTTGTCCTGTCTATCACTGGTAATGTCCTTGATGGTCGTGGTTGTGGAGGTAGATACTTGAAATGAGGTATTGGAAAAGATGTTGGAAACGTGTTTGGCAATGGAGTTGGTGGGGAGGACTATGTATCTCTTCTCGGCAGTGTCTTCTCTGGGTGTGTTGAAGATGTTTAATGCCCGTCGTCTGCAGTCTCTGATGAAGTGACGAGGATAGTGGAGTTTAGAAAATACTTGTTCTTGAAGAAGAATGCATGATGATTGAACAAGTATTTTCTAAACTCCACTATCCTCGTCACTTCATCAGAGACTGCAGACGACGGGCATTAAACATCTTCAACACACCCAGAGAAGACACTGCCGAGAAGAGATACATAGTCCTCCCACCAACTCCATTGCCAAACACGTTTCCAACATCTTTTCCAATACCTCATTTCAAGTATCTACCTCCACAACCACGACCATCAAGGACATTACCAGTGATAGACAGGACAAGCTTCCACCCTCTGCAGGGGTATACATAATCCCTTGTAATGACTGCAACAAGTTATATGTGGGCGAAACATCAAGGGACCTCCAAACACGTATTTCAGAACACCAATACGCAAGCAGGTCTGACGACACAAGGAATGCCTGCGTACAACACCGTAATTCACACAACCACTTGATAAACTACAGAAACTCAAGACTTATCTCCACAGAAGACAACACTCAATACCGAAGAATCCTGGAATCATCACTTATTTCTATATCCGACAACTTCAACCAGAATAGTGGCTTCTACAACATAGCTGAACCACTTGCCAAGAAACTTCTTCATCGCTATCCCACATAAGAACACTGTAGAAGGTCTGCTCACAAACTTATTCAATCTCCTTTCCAAGCTACCCAAGATTTTAGACTCTATAACCCCACTCGGTACATCATCAGATGCAGCATTCTCCACCTGACCTCAGCATTCTGAACCTGACTATAAATACTCGCGTTCCTTCCAACCCAGGTAGTTCTGTTTGTGACTTGAAAAAGCCCACTGTGTGGGCGAAACGTAGTCAATAAAGGATCACATTATACGGCATATGTGTTTATATTTCCATATTCAACCCTTACCAGACAGTCTGAAGTACAGTACAACTTCTCATTAATGGATTATTTGGGGGAGGAGGGTGCACAATAATGCCAAATGTCCACAGCTTCTAAATTATGAAATGAATATTTCATAAATGTCCAGGTGTCTTCTGAAGTAGTGGACTTGGTCTCCTGATGCTGAAGAACTGCAACTTAAGAATATGGGTGTTGCAATGTGTAGTATTATTGTACTATTCTATTCAAAACTCAGGGGGGAAAGTCATGAAAACTGATACTTAATTAACATAAAACTAAATTAGTATTGTAGACCTACTTGCTCATGCTAGGGAGGTCTTTCTCACACCCATTAAATTACATTAGAGGAGCATTACAGTAGGCCTATTGGCTCATGCTAGGCACATCCTACTGTAATCCAATCTTTCTCACTCGTAAGTTTGTCGAACCTTTTCAGCTTGAACAATCAAAGGAAAGCAGAGCAAGCAATGACAGGTAGAAAGGGCAAGCAACCAGGCAGGCAGGGAAGGAGAGAGGAAGGGAGGCAGGCAGGCAGGGAAGGAGAGAGGAAGGGAGGCAGGAAGGCAGGGAAGGAGATGTGCCTGTCAGTGTCAAGTGCAAACTCCTACTGTATGCAGATGACAGTGCTCTGTTAGTGACAGGTAAAGACCCACAAGATATTGCTAATGTTTTAACACTGGGACTGGAGTCCTGCAGCAAATGGTTAGTAGACAACAAACTATCATTACATCTAGGGAAAACTGAAGCCATTCTCTTTGGCACGAAACATAAACTGAGAAGGGTAAATAACTTTAATGTTCAATGTAATGGGGAGCCCATCACTTTGGTTTCATCAGTAAAATATTTGGGAATCCCCTTTGACCCATGCATGTCAGGAGAATTGATAGGGAACAGTGTAGTAAAGAAAGCGAATGCCAGACTGAAGTTCCTGTATAGACAAGCATAGTGTCTACCTACTGAGGCTCGCAGGACCCTATGTCTAGCCCTTATACAATGCCATATGGATTAAGCTTGCTCTTCATGGTACTCTGCCTTGACAAAAAAACTGAAAGATAGACTGCAAATCACCCAGAACAAAATCGTAAGATTCATCCTGGGGCTGGGACCAAGAAAACATGTAGGCCAGGATGAATTACAGCAGGTGGATATGCTGAATGTTGAAGACAGAGTAAAACAACTGAAGCTAAATCATGTTTATAAAATTGCTCACAAACAGTGTCCAGAATATCTTGCTGTCAATTTTGTCAAGGTTGGGAACCAAAGCAATCATAGTACTAGGGGGAGAGAGCACAACTTTGTAGTACCCACAGTCATTGGCCAGGCGTCAAACACCTTTTATTGTACAGCAATAAAGGAATGGAACAGACTACCCGCACATGTCAAAGCCAGTCATAGCATGAACCAGTTCAAGAAGAGTGCCAAAAGGTGTCTGATGAATGTAGCTACAGAAAGGGAGGGGAATGATTTTCTATTTTTAGCTAACATACGTGTAAATTTTACCTTATTCCTAGTAATGACCCTCGTATTGTAGATAGTCTTAATGACCCTCGTGTAGTAGATAGTCTTTTTAGTATGATAATAAGATGTTATCTTCATTGTAGAATAATAAGAAAATATTATAACCTTTATATTATAATAATAAGGTAAAAGGACCCCAGTGGAAATAAGTCACTCTGACTTTTTTGGGTTATCCTAGGTTCTCTACACATATGCTGCTATGTATGATAATTCTATGTAACTATTTGTGTATACCTGAATAAACTTACTTACTTACTATAGGAAGGGAGGCAGGCAGGCAGGGAAGAAGAGAGGAAGGGAGGCAGGCAGGCAGGGAAGGAGAGAGGAAGGGAGGCAGGCAGGCAGGCATGTACAGGCACTCAGGCATGAAGGCAAGCAGGTAAGGAAGGAGAGAGGCAGGCAGAGAGGCAGATAGGGAAGGAGAGAGGCAGGCAGAGAGGCAGATAGGGAAGGAGAGAGGCAGGCAGACAGGCAGATAGGGAAGGAGAGAGGCAGGCAGACAGGCAGGTAGGGATGGAGAGAGGCAGGCAGGCAGGCAGGTAAGGAAGGAGAGAAGCAGGCAGACAGGCAGATAGGGAAGGAGAGGCAGGCAGACAGGCAGGTAGGGAAGGAGAGGCAGGCAGACAGGCAGGTAAGGAAGGAGAGAGGCAGGCAGACAGACAGATAGGGAAGGAGAGGCAGGCAGACAGGCAGACAGGGAAGGAGAGAGGCCGGCAGACAGGCAGATAGGGATGGAGAGAGGCCGGCAGACAGGCAGGTAGGGAAGGAGATAGGCAGGCAGACAGGCAGGTGGGGAAGGAGACAGGCAGGTAAGCAGGCAGGCAGGCATGCATACACTGATAAAACTCTGCACAAAGACACTCTGTCACAAAGTGTTTGTAATGTCTTTTCTTCACTATTGTTGGCAGGACTCCATTAAGATCCTGTAAATGTACTGGGCTGAATCTCCTCATATTCACACATATGAAGTCTTCATTATTAAATTGTAATATACTGCACAATGTTATGATTTTTTAACAGACCTTAGTAATTTCTTTGTGTTTGCTCAACAGGTTAAAAAGGCAAGCAGTGAGCAGTATGACAGTGGGCACATCTGGTGCAGCTGTCAATCTACCAGAGAATTTTTGTCCAAGTCCTAACTGCACAGGAAGTACTCCCTTGGGAGTTGTACTTCAAGAGTGGCCAGCTGTCTCATACGTAAGTACAGGCTTACCTGGAGGGTGTTCCGAGGGTCAATGCCCCTGTGGCCCAGTCCATGACCATACCTTACTAATACAGCGGGTTAGGTTCCAAACCACCCCTGTCAAGCCAGTATCACTATCAGTCTTTTTTTTTCACTTGCCAGTGCATATAAAAGCCTAAAAATATGATTACACTATCATTTATTAAGTGCACAATATTGCTAGTGGTAAGTTACTAAATGCTGTAAAGAGTTTTTATGAGGATAGTGAGGCTCAGGTTAGGGTGTGTAGAAGAGAGGGAGACTACTTCCCGGTAAAAGTAGGTCTTAGACAGGGATGTGTAATGTCACCATGGTTGTTTAATATATTTATAGATGGGGTTGTAAAAGAAGTAAATGCTAGGGTGTTCGGGAGAGGGGTGGGATTAAATTATGGGGAATCAAATTCAAAATGGGAATTGACAGTTGCTTTTTGCTGATGATACTGTGCTTATGGAAGATTCTAAAGAAAAATTGCTAAGGTTAGTGGATGAGTTCGGGAATGTGTGTAAAGGTAGAAAGTTGAAAGTGAACATAGAAAAGAGTAAGGTGATGAGGGTATCAAATGATTTTGATAAAGAAAAATTGGATATCAAATTGGGGAGGAGGAGTATGGAAGAAGTGAATGTTTTCAGATACTTGGGAGTTGACGTGTCGGCGGATGGATTTATGAAGGATGAGGTTAATCATAGAATTGATGAGGGAAAAAAGGTGAGTGGTGTGTTGAGGTATATGTGGAGTCAAAAAACGTTATCTATGGAGGCAAAGAAGGGAATGTATGAAAGTATAGTAGTACCAACACTCTTATATGGATGTGAAGCTTGGGTGGTAAATGCAGCAGCAAGGAGAGGGTTGGAGGCAGTGGAGATGTCCTGTCTAAGAGCAATGTGTGGTGTAAATATTATGCAGAAAATTCGGAGTGTGGAAGTTAGGAAAAGGTGTGGAGTTAATAAAAGTATTAGTCAGAGGGCAGAAGAGGGATTGTTGAGGTGGTTTGGTCATTTAGAGAGAATGGATCAAAGTAGAATGACATGGAAAGCATATAAATCTATAGGGGAAGGAAGGCAGGGTAGGGGTCGTCCTCGAAAGGGTTGGAGAGAGGGGGTAAAGGAGGTTTTGTGGGTGAGGGGCTTGGACTTCCAGCAAGCATGCGTGAGCATGTTAGATAGGAGTGAATGGAGACGAATGGTACTTGGGACCTGACGATCTGTTGGAGTGTGAGCAGGGTAATATTTAGTGAAGGGATTCAGGGAAACCGGTTATTTTCATATAGTCGGACTTGAGTCCTGGAAATGGGAAGTACAATGCCTGCACTTTAAAGGAGGGGTTTCGGATATTGGCAGTTTGGAGGGATATATTGTGTATCTTTATACATATATGCTTTTAAACTGTTGTATTCTGAGCACCTCTGCAAAAACAATGATAATGTGTGAGTGTGGTGAAAGTGTTGAATGATAATGAAAGTATTTTCTTTTTGGGGATTTTGTTTCTTTTTTGGGTCACCCTGCCTCGGTGGGAGACGGCCGACTTGTTGTAAAAAAAAAAAAATTGCTAGGCCTAAAAAAGATGCAACGAATGAACCAAAGAACTCACTCTCAACATAAACAAAACGTGCTTCATTCTGTTTGGAAACAGAGCCTTAAATATTCAACCTAGCACTAGGCATTTCAGGCAGACTAAGATTAATTCCAAACCCTGTATTGGTACAGATTATGGATGTGTCATCTGAAACACTTGATAGATATTTTTATTATTATTCCAATATCAGTGTTGAATTATTATTGATTTTGCAGGCTGTGTACCCTTTGTTTGCAATTTCTTCTTTAGAGTTTTCCAGATTCTGCCAGTAAACTCTCAAGAGGAACCAAGATTGTCGACTTCTCTCTGCATTCTCGATCTGTAGAAGAGTTGTCAGTGAAGAACCTCCCACCAGATCAAAGGATTGTTGTGAATATTCCCATAACAGTAGGAGAGAGAGGCAACACAACTTTACCAGGTTGGTTGTTTTGCTTCTGTAGGGCATAATTAACCATGTAACAGGAATTGTAAATGCTTGTATGCAGTGCACCTATATGCACCCCTACCTCTGAACTTGCTACTTGTCAGATTCACTTCCTCCAAGGCTCATGGGCTCTATTGTACCTGTTCCTAAAACAATGTTTGGCAGTTGCCTTAACCACCTCTTCATTAAGATCATCCCACTTCCTCATCATTCTGAGCCTGAGAAAATACTTCCCTGTATCCTTGTGGCTCATTTGTGTCTAACTTTTAGCTGTGCTCCTAGGTTCCTGTTTTGTATCTCTCAAACAGCCTGCCCCTGTCTACCCTGTCAAGTATTTTGAATATTTTGTATGTTGTTATCTCTTTCCTGGTTCAGTCCTCCACCGTCATTAGATTCAATTCCATTGCTCACCCTTTAGCTCTGGAACTAGCCTTGTTCCATACGTCTGCCCTTTCTATACTTTCATAACATACTTTTACAAGTGCGGGCTCCATAGTGGTGCTGCATACTCCAAAATGGGCTGCTCTTAGATTTGCCAGTTGAGCATTTGCTGCTGAGGTTATTCAGCTGATACGAACCTAATGCGATATATGTATAGGGCACAATGCAGTACGATTTTATGTTACTATCTTTTCATATTAAAAGTTACTGTTTCATTATATAGACTTGGAATATATACATATTCTTCATTGGTATTATTGAACTTATTTGATACTACAGGCAAGTAGAAATAGATGTTCTCATGAGTATTATAAAACGTTCTTCTTTGGGTCATTCTACCTATGGAAGAATGATTCTGCACTAAAACAGATGTAACACACCCTTTGATACTTTTGAGTTAAATAACTAATTAGCAAGTGTGTTTTGCAGCGATGCAGAGTGTTAATGCCATCCAGCAGTCTGCTCTGAAGTCCATACCTGTGATATACACCACTTTCAATGTTTCTTTGGTGAGTAATAACATTTTCATGTTCTTCATACTTGATTCCTTCATGTGCTCTACATTTTTTTAATTTTATGCATTCATGCGTTATACAGATAGGTAAAAGGGGGGGGATAGCCTTGATGGTGGTGAGGCAGTAGGTGATCCAGGGTGTGTGATAATGTGCATGGGAAATAGCTAATCCAGGGTGTGTAACCATGAACATGAGAAACAGCAGGTCCAGGGTGTGTAACTATGAACATGGAAACAGCAGGTCCAGGGTGTGTAACCATGAACATGAGAAACAGCAGGTCCAGGGTGTGTTAACATGAACATGAGAAACAGCAGGTCCAGGGTGTGTAACCATGAACATGGGAAACAGCAGGTCCAGGGTGTGTAACCATGAACATGAGAAACAGCAGGTCCAGGGTGTGTAACCATGAACATGAGAAACAGCAGGTCCAGGGTGTGTAACCATGAACATGGAAACAGCAGGTCCAGGGTGTGTAACCATGAACATGGGGAAACAGCAGGTCCAGGGTGTGTAACCATGAACATGAGAAACAGCAGGTCCAGGGTGTGTAACCATGAACATGAGAAACAGCAGGTCCAGGGTGTGTAACCATGAACATGAGAAACAGCAGGTCCAGGGTGTGTAACCATGAACATGAGAAACAGCAGGTCCAGGGTGTGTAACCATGAACATGAGAAACAGCAGGTCCAGGGTGTGTAACCATGAACATGAGAAACAGCAGGTCCAGGGTGTGTAACCATGAACATGAGAAACAGCAGGTCCAGGGTGTGTAACCATGAACATGAGAAACAGCAGGTCCAGGGTGTGTAACCATGAACATGAGAAACAGCAGGTCCAGGGTGTATAACCATGAACATGAGAAACAGCAGGTCCAGGGTGTGTAACCATGAACATGGGAAACAGCAGGTCCAGGGTGTGTAACCATGAACATGAGAAACAGCAGGTCCAGGGTGTGTAACCATGAACATGAGAAACAGCAGGTCCAGGGTGTGTAACCATGAACATGAGAAACAGCAGGTCCAGGGTGTGTAACCATGAACATGAGAAACAGCAGGTCCAGGGTGTGTAACCATGAACATGGAAACAGCAGGTCCAGGGTGTGTAACCATGAACATGAGAAACAGCAGGTCCAGGGTGTGTAACCATGAACATGAGGAAACAGCAGGTCCAGGGTGTGTAACCATGAACATGAGAAACAGCAGGTCCAGGGTGTGTAACCATGAACATGAGAAACAGCAGGTCCAGGGTGTGTAACCATGAACATGAGAAACAGCAGGTCCAGGGTGTGTAACCATGAACATGAGAAACAGCAGGTCCAGGGTGTGTAACCATGAACATGGGAAACAGCAGGTCCAGGGTGTGTAACCATGAACATGGGAAACAGCAGGTCCAGGGTGTGTAACCATGAACATGGGAAACAGCAGGTCCAGGGTGTGTAACCATGAACATGAGAAACAGCAGGTCCAGGGTGTGTAACCATGAACATGAGAAACAGCAGGTCCAGGGTGTGTAACCATGAACATGGGAAACAGCAGGTCCAGGGTGTGTAACCATGAACATGGGAAACAGCAGGTCCAGGGTGTGTAACCATGAACATGGGAAACAGCAGGTCCAGGGTGTGTAACTATGAACATGGGAAACAGCAGGTCCAGGGTGTGTAACCATGAACATGGAAACAGCAGGTCCAGGGTGTGTAACCATGAACATGGGAAACAGCAGGTCCAGGGTGTGTAGCCATGAACATGGGAAACAGCAGGTCCAGGGTGTGTAACCATGAACATGGGAAACAGCAGGTCCAGGGTGTGTAACTATGAACATGAGAAACAGCAGGTCCAGGGTGTGTAACTATGAACATGAGAAACAGCAGGTCCAGGGTGTGTAACTATGAACATGAGAAACAGCAGGTCCAGGGTGTGTAACTATGAACATGAGAAACAGCAGGTCCAGGGTGTGTAACTATGAACATGAGAAACAGCAGGTCCAGGGTGTGTAACTATGAACATGAGAAACAGCAGGTCCAGGGTGTGTAACCATGAACATGAGAAACAGCAGGTCCAGGGTGTGTAACTATGAACATGAGAAACAGCAGGTCCAGGGTGTGTAACTATGAACATGAGAAACAGCAGGTCCAGGGTGTGTAACCATGAACATGGGAAAACAGCAGAGCCAGAACCAAGTGTTAGTGGTGAAAAGAGACAAAGAAGAGAAACAACAGCGAAAGGACAGTTGCCTGACATACAGTGGACCCCCGCATAACGATGGCATCGCATAGCGATTTTTCCGCATAACGATTACTTTTATCGCAAAATTTTTGCCGCGCATACCGATTAAAAACCCGCATACCGATTTTCGTCCGAGACGCGTCCAATGTGCCCTCAGCCAGCCTCACATGTGCCGCTCCGTCCCATTGTTTACCAGCCAGCCTCCGCGGTAACATCCAAGCATACACTCGGAATATTTCGTATTATTACAGTATTTTCGGTGCTGTTTCTGGAAAATAAGTGACCATGGGCCCCAAGAAAGCTTCTAGTGCCAACCCTACACCTCAAAGGGTAAGAATTACTATAGAGATGAAGAAAGAGATAATTGATAAGTATGAAAGTGGAGTGCGTATAGCCGACCTAGTCAAGCTGTACAAGAAACCCCAATCAACCATCGCTACTATTGTGGGCACCAGAAAGACAATCAAGGAAGCTGTTCTTGCCAAAGGTTCAACTGTGTTTTCGAAACAAAGATCGCAATTGATGGAAGATGTTGAGAGACTCTTATTGGTGTGGATAAATGAAAAACAGATAGCAGGAGATAGCGTCTCTCAAGCGATCATATGTGAAAAGGCTAGGAAGTTGCATGAGGATTTAATTAAAAAAATGCCTGCAACTAGTGATGATGTGAGTGAATTTAAGGCCAGCAAAGGTTGGTTTGAGAGATTTAAGAAGCGTAGTGGCATCCATAGTGTGATAAGGCATGGTGAGGCTGCCAGTTCGGACCACAAAGCGGCTGAAAAATATGTGCAGGAATTCAAGGAGTACATAGAAACTGAAGGACTGAAACCTGAACAAGTGTTTAATTGTGATGAAACAGGCCTGTTCTGGAAGAAAATGCCAAGCAGGACCTACATTACTCAGGAGGAAAAGGCACTCCCAGGACATAAGCCTATGAAAGACAGGCTTACTTTGTTGATGTGTGCCAATGCTACTGGTGATTGCAAAGTGAAGCCTTTATTAGTGTATCACTCTGAAACTCCCAGAGCGTTCAGGCAAAAGAATGTCCTCAAGGATAATTTGTGTGTGCTGTGGAGGGCAAACAGTAAGGCATGGGTCACTAGGGAATTTTTCTATAACTGGTTACACCATGCATTTGCCCCCAATGTGAAAAATTACCTAACTGAAAAGAAATTAGAACTTAAGTGCCTCCTGGTGTTAGACAATGCCCCTGGTCATCCTACAGACGTGGCAGAGGACTTTATGGGGACATGAGCTTCATTAAGGTGAAGTTTTTGCCTCCTAATACCACTCCTCTCCTGCAGCCCATGGACCAGCAGGTTATTTCCAACTTCAAGAAACTGTACACAAAAGCTCTGTTTGAAAGGTGCTTTGTAATGACCTCAGAAACTCAACTGACTCTAAGAGAGTTTTGGAGAGATCACTTTAATATCCTCAATTGTGTAAACCTTATAGGTAAGGCTTGGGAGGAAGTGACAAAGAGGACCTTGAACTCTGCTTGGAAGAAACTGTGGCCAGAATGTGTAGACAAAAGGGATTTTGAAGGGTTTGAGGCTAACCCTGAGAATCCTGTGCCAGTTGAGGAATCCATTGTGGCATTGGGAAAGTCCTTGGGGTTGGAGGTTAGTGGGGAGGATGTGGAAGAGTTGGTGGAGGAGGACAATGAAGAACTAACCACTGATGAGCTGCTAGATCAACTTCAACAGCAAGAGGCCACACCTGAGGAAATTGCTTCGGAGGAGGGAGAGGAGAAATTGAAGAAGTTGCCTACTTCAAAGATTAAGGAAATCTGTGCAAAGTGGCTTGAAGTGCAAACCTTCATGGATGAAAATCACCCTCACACAGCTATTGCAAGCCGTGCTGGTGATTATTACACTGACAATGTTGTGAAACACTTTAGGCAAGTCATAAAGGAACGAGAGGTACAGGCCACTATGGACAGATATCTTGTGCGAAAGAAGTCCAGTGACTCTGAAGCTGGCCCTAGTGGCATTAAAAGAAGAAGGGAAGTAACCCCAGAAAAGGACTTACTACCTCAAGTCCTAATGGAAGGGGATTCCCCTTCTAAACACTAACACACTCTCTCCCCTCCTCCCATCCCATCAATCATCACCAGATCTTCAATAAAAGTAAGTGTCATTTAATTGTGCATGCCTTTTTCAGTTTGTGTGTATTAAAATTAACATTTCATGTGGTAAAAAAAATTTTTTTTCATACTTTTGGGCGTCTTGCACGGATTAATTTTATTTCCATTATTTCTTATGGGGAAAATTCATTCGCATAACGATTATTTCGCATAACGATGAGCCCTCTTGCACGGATTAAAATCGTTAACCGGGGGTCCACTGTATTAACCTTTTTAGGGTCGAGACCCCTGATCCTTATCCCGTAAACGGTCCAAACGTATATATACGTTTTTTCAACATTTGAAAGTATGTAAAAAAAGTAGATCTTCTTTTCGTTTTTCTACATTTGAAAATGTGTAAAAAACTTTGATCTACTTTTTTTTGTTATACAGTGGACCCCCGCTTAACGATCACCTCCAAATGTGACCAATTATGTAAGTGTATTTATGTAAGTGTGTTTGTACGTGTATGTTTGGGGGTCTGAAATGGACTAATCTACTTCACAATATTCCTTATGGGAACAAATTCGGTCAGTACTGGCACCTGAACATACTTCTGGAATGAAAAAATATCGTTAACTGGGGGTCCACTGTATTTGAAAATACGTAAAAAAACTTAGATCTACTTTTGTAGCACTACACATGTG